ACATTTCCAAAATATTGAATTATCGAGCGTTTCTGCTTGTCTATAATTTGAATGAACGTTGAAGACATCCCTACGTATGGTGAACTGATTAAGGGAGACCATTTTCTATTGAGAATCTCTACTATTGAACACGAATCACACAGGAATCGATTGTTCCATAGATCTGACCTAGATACGTGTCAGAAACACGTATCCTCCTCCTTTGACAACGTTACAAAAGACCAAGTCGTTTCATCCTGATAACATCGAATCGACACCAAGAGACCTATAGGCGCCCGTATATATAGGATGATTCTAGAAACTAGGACAAGATGCAGCTCTTTTCCCAGCAAAGATACAAAGAACCGATGAAGGAAGAAAGGTTGAATCCCACGATGGGAATCATCTTTCGACGATACGATTCTTTCTCTACGCAACTTGCACACGTGCACCCGTTATCCAAACTTTCTTTCCAAAGTATCGCGTGATCATTAAAAATTTTTGGCCCTCATTTTTCTATTCCCCTCTGAATTCATTTCTACAGAATGAAAATGAGCTACAGTTGGATTACACGTTTTGGAATCGCCCTGTGAGGACGTTCGGAGATACTTAATAGGGGCTGTCGGCGTCGTTGAGGAGAAAAAGAGTAGGAGGGCCGAATTCTGGCGGAAAATGCTAAGGTCCATTAGTCGCGAAACGTATCGGGAAAAAGTTCCACCGTCGCGTACGTGTTACGGCGACCCGATAGGAATGTAATTCTTGCCATCCAGACGGAGGAAGCACGGGCTACGTACACCGGAAATATACTCGGTGGAGCTCCCCTGGTGTGTACGTGATGCTTGCTGTTCCGCGGACTGGAAATACGAAACCGGGACGGGAAAACGTATCGCGTGGCGCGGCCGGAGAACGATGCCCTTTCTCTACCGTGTGTCACCTGTCTTTCGCGCGGGCGTATAACAGATTTTTCGAGAGCCATTTTCCGCGACTTCGAGAGAAACGAATACGAGCGACGTCAGAAAGTTTCCTCGAAAGCTGCCGGGCTAAAGGAACAGCAAAAGTCGATACTAACTGCCGCGACAGTTCCCTCGCGTAAAAGATGCGACGCCCACCCTATTGGAGGAACCATAAACGGGCAAGATACTTTGATAAAAATGTCAAACGACGAATAACAGACGAGTGATCGTGATATTTTTAATCAGACGTACAGTTTCTATCGAATTGTAAATTTTTGGAATTTTTATTATCTCTGTTCGTCGGGACAAAGTCTATTGTTCGCATATTTATTTATTAGAAGAGCTCGATACCGTGCATCCCTTTGGTCGATCATCCCCCAAAGGAAAGAGCGTGGATCAGGTTCGATAAAAGCTCGCCGATACATCGTTGCGTAACGGATCGGCACGCGGAACCGCGATGCTGCAATTACGGTCATCGTGTCGTCATTGAAACGCAACAATGGCTGCGGTAAAAAGCAGTGCGCGTAATCAGCGTGTCGGAAGAGGACGGACGGCTCGCTGGAGAGAGTAAAATGGCCCTTGATTCGACGTCCATCTAGCCTCGCGATGACATCTCTCGTTCGCGAATCAACCAATTCGATAGAAACCATGCTAGTTTCGCTTCGAACGGGAAAACTATAGTTGCATCAAACTCCCTGGGTTCCTTTTCATACGTTGTGCCTCGTTATGACAATTTCATTCCTCACAATTATTTTCTTTGACTTTCACCCGGTGGACTCCGGGTCCATTTTGAACTTTATTAATATTCCTTTTTTAAAATCGAATAGAATTAAATAGCCCTTACGGAAATGTCTAAGCTATATTCGTACCGAGGAAAGCATTGCGTAACAAAGGCGAAATAAAAATGCTCGATACAGTCGATTAAGAAACAAAGAATTAATTTTCAACGGCGTAACTCGATTAGCCAGTCGGAGCACCGACGGCGAAATGATCTATATCTGTCTCTGTCTGTTGGCAAACACCATCGATCAGCGGTGTCGTTTGGCCGCGATGCATTAATCATTCATGGAGTTTATCAGCGGAAAATTGATAATCTTGCGGAACAGAGCGATGGTTTTGTCGATGATGATCACCGCCGTTAATTGATATCGACATTATCGAATGAAAGAGTCCATTGTTGAAATATCCGATCGACGACGTCCGATAATTCAGAAAACAGGAGGAATTACGTAACGTTTCGGATGTGTGTACTTATTTTCATTAAGTGTGACACGGGGAACCCTAATCCACTGGAGTTCCCAGCAGGGGCGCATGATCACCTAGCGATTCCACTGGGGGTCACGACCCTAGTGGGTCAAGTATGGATTCCATGAACTCGAGTATTTCATTTAGAGAACCTCGTCGCATTTACAAACATTTTGGCAGGCACACCACTGAGCTAACAATAAAATTTCTAAGCCAGAGATAAGTGGTTAAAATGGTACAAGAAAAAATAATTTACATTCAAGTAAATAAAAACTATTAAACTAAAATTAATCGTCCACGGTTGCGAAGCGGTTGAAGTTGCAGTCGTGGCCCTCGAACGGATTCAGTAACTTTGAATCGCGAACAATTATCCAGTCCTTTTATGCGTATCTTATTACGGCGGTCCATTGCTTGAGATTTCATTCAATACGAGTCGATTGTGGCGACAGTTTAAAGGCATTGACGCCATCGATTCCGCGCGCTCGTAAAAACGGAACGCAAACGATCCGTAGCGGGCGACATTCTCGAAATTGCGTTGCATAAATACGGAGAACCGATGCTTTCTAAAAGGTAACCGCTATTATTTAAACGCATTACCCCAATTGCATAATAAACGCAGCCCGAATAAATAAACCGGGGAACATTACGCAACCTCAAGGCGAACGTCGTTACAACAGCCCGCGAATTATGCATTTCTTTAACGAACAAGTCTTAATTAATGCCGGGCTCTTCTTTTTTTCACAGTTATTTCTCCTTCGACGTTGGCTAATTTGCAACAGTTTTATTCGGGCTCGGGGAACACTGCTTTACATTCCTACCAATCTCTTTTATTCCACGACCGAGTTTTGCACGAAACCGGTAAAAACTGGCCCTGTGTATTGCGAATTATGGAAAACAAATGCATTCGCTTCTTTAGAAAGACCGTAATTATTACAGTTTCGGAGATAACTCGTCTAACCGGAATTCTCGATGCCGGTGTGCGTTGACAATCAAAGTTTTTTTGCAACTTGGTTTTGCAAGAATCATTTATAGCATTTCAGCATTATTTCTCTATAGCATTGTCTCTCGTTGGTTTTATTCGTTATCTGTTATATTATTCGAACGAAACGGCATCTCTGACGCGCGGAATCGTGGAGTCCAATTTCGATGGAAGAAGCACCTGTCACCGTCGAACAGATTCGCTCGGTGTTCCGTGCCGTGTAAACGCGACAGAAGCCTGCCGGTCGTTCAACCGAAAAAAAGTACGCACCAAAAAGTAGAGAGAGAGAGACACGCATGAAAACGAGAGAAAAGGGAAAAAAGGGAAACGAAAAAAATCGAAGGGAATTCAATCGATATCGGATTACAGATTGAGCTCGACGGGGCCGAAAGTTTGGGGCGTGTGGCGCGGCAATCCTTTCCCGTTCCTCCAATCCGCTTAACTTCGCAGATTCAACTGCGAAACTTATCGGACCGTTCGAGCAACGGCTGATACCGAATCGGCCCATATATCCTGCGGTATCGATAATGTATTCGGGCTTGATTCGCCCGTCCGCGGACCGCCGAATTCATTTTTCTTTCGCAATCGCGGTTGGTTCCCTGATTTCCGATCTTAACGATGCTCGACACCGATTCTTCTTGATTTTTGGACGCCTGACAAGTTCTTTCTCTTCAACACCCACGATCCTCGTCCTTCGTACCTGTTCTGTTATTCAAACGTAACACGATTCAAAGTCCTCGTGGGTCTTCGACATCTTTTCTAGGACGGAGATTCCGGGCGAACGGTTTGACGCGTGGCTGAGTGTCGCCTGTTTTTAATTAGAAACCGCAGCTACGAAGAAGCCGGGAGTTCCCTGTCCCGGTAAATCGCGCGAATGCCCGTGCACTTCCGTCCGCGGCGGTGTTCCTTTTCGTGCCGGACGAGTTCATTACGGTTGTAACGCGGCTAACAGGATTTCGCCGGCCGTCGTAACGAGCTCTCTCGAGCCGTAATTCAAAAGTTGATTCGAGTAGCGCCAATTTATTGCCCCTAGGCGGCCGCTGGGCGAGACTTTTCCCCGCGGGGGATGGCTGACTAGCTGGCACGCCGCGACGAACGAAACTCCGAACAGATAAGGTCGCTGGAAATTGCATTAAACATCGTGGGCACGTGCCCCAGGAAGAGCAGAAAGTGTTTCCCGACGAAACGCGACTCGACGGGGCGTCGGGACGCGACGCGATGCCGAAAGAAACGCTTCTTCTTTCGCTACTTCCGTTCCACCCTCTTAAAACGGTCCTCGACCTCTTGACGCATGATTTAGTTAGCTTCCTACTTCGTTATTTTCTTATGCATCGTCTAGAAATACTTTGCTATTGTATATACATTCTCCATAAATTATTGAAGCTTATAAAAAATTCTTAGGCAGAATTACCACGTGAAAAGCTGAAGTAATTGAAAATGAAGAACGTTTAATCGTACGTAGACCTTAAGGTTGAAATATTCGCGCACTTTATCGAGGAATATTAATATTGCAACTGCAGTGAGAATTTCAACTGTGGTAATACGGTCGCGTCTCCGGAGAACTGGGTAACAGTAGAAGATAATATTTCGCGAGGAATATTCATGAATTATGTTATAACATTTTTCCCGGGAACTCGTACTACCGCTTCGAAACGCCGAAGAATAATTTTTCAAATATTGGCTCAACGGAGAATAATTTTCGTTTAAAAAAGTTTCAACCTAGAAAACTGATTGCTTTTTAATTTACGACTTCTTTGTCTCGAAAAGATCCAGTAAATCGTTCGATGCTTTGTTTCCAGTTTCCTAGAAAATAGAAGGTAACATCTAATTTTGATCAAACTTACCAAAACTGTTTCATACGTCTTCGCAATCACCGGATATGAATCTCATCGAACATCTGTGGAACAAAGAAAGTATTTCTTGAAATATTTTCCAACATTTTCGAGAGTTTTACAGGCAAACATAAAATGGCTGGGTCCGGTCTAAGGGGTGGTTTCTCTTGTAAAGTCGATAAGTAGCAGGGACGAAATACAGTATAGCTCGTAGGTTGGACCAATGAACATTTGTGAAAAGTTTGATCAAAATCGATCCGTCTGAAAGTTGGCGATGTACTTGTAAGCAATGGCGAGCCCGATGAGAGAGGGGAAAATGCTCCCTTACGACCCCTCTCGTGATATTAATATCCATTTTTTCACGTCAGTTTAAACGAAAGATGTTTAATTTATTTTCGTCCGTTAAAACAACATCGTTCCCCCGCTCTTATCGATTACAAATTAAATCTCTCGCAAAGTTCAGACGTTCAACCCCTCGATGCTCGCACATTTTTCAACCCAACCCTCCAAAAATAATCATTTCATTTTACTATATCTTACGTTTCCAACGCAATAAAGCAGAAATCGAAATTTGTACCGTTTGTGTTGGTTTTTATTTGCAACCCCTCGTTAAATTTCTGGTCGCGTCCGTGCTCGCGAGTCCGTAAAATTCGACGATCGTATCGGTTATCGGTTTAGGAAATAATATTGACAGGAAACCGTGCTGGAAAAACAATGAACGTCCGCGTAATTGCGCGTGGAACGAAAGGGAAATGGAACGAAGGAGTTCAGTGTCTTCGCAATCAGTTCGCGGTTTCGATTATTCAGCGTCGACGATGCTCAAATGGAGAATTCGAGTTATTAATGGCGCCGCGCCGTCGTAAACGAAACCCCTCGACTCGAGGGGGATCAATCGGAAGGAAATTGCCGTCGGTGAAAGCGAACGTAAAACAATTTACTGTCATAAAACCGGCGAATCGTCTTGTTTGTTCTCGAAACGAGAGACCGCTTCAAGCACAATTACTATCGCCGATTGTTTGCGGATAAAAGCGCAAAGTTTTCGCCACTTTCCTACTGTTTATTTTCGTGACAGCTGAAAACGAAAGGGGATACGTATAGCGGAGTATAACACTCGTCGTTTCGAAATAAATTCTTAAACAACCAATTCGTGCGAAACCTTTTATCAACTTCGAATGAAATTATTTCTCCGATGAACAAATTCGATAAGAGTCCTGTCGACGAGGGAGGAATCGTAGGCACAATTTAGATCTGTAGATCTGAACGACAGATCACAGATACTTGGAAGAATTGCCTTCAGCCAACAAAGAACTTGTAACTCGTTACGCGCAGAGCATAACAAGGAGTCGTTTCTCCGCAGGATTGCAACCGTGCACGAGGAATGGTTTCTCTGCTCCAATTTGAAGGGAACTAAGCAATGGCTTTCGTCAAAGCAAACTCCAGCTGCAACGCCAAAGCCCGGTTCGACTCCAGCAAAGTATCCTCTATGCGTTTACTGGAATTTCAGCGAGGTGATTTCGATTTGCTGAAACTTGGGGAAACGATAACGAAATCTACTGTCAGCAGCCAGGAAGATTACAGCAACACTACACGTATCTACGCTAATCAACAAGAAGAGCGTAATCTTGTGGTCACGATAACGCGAACAAAAGAGTAAAAAAATCTTTGGTAAAACTTTACCGTGAGCGTGTTGCGACGAACACGTCCGAAAAGGAGCAAAGATGGGGTTCGAAACGAAAGAGTAAGAAAATAAGAGGGTCTGCACCCCGAAAGGGGGGAGGGGGGCGACACTAGTAGAGAGGCGAAGTAAGTAAAGAGCGAGAAAATGAAAGAACGGCAGGAATAAGGGTATGAAGGGGGTTGAAACGATAGAGAGAAAGGGACAGGGGGTGGGAAAAGTTGTTCGAACTGCCGATGGGGGTGACATTTAACCAGGCACGCACCGCGTGAACGGTGTGAGTGCATCTAACGGGGTTTTACGAGTTCGAGGGGGCTAGAAATGGGGGGTGGTTGGGTAGCGGCAAGAAAAGAGGGTACGTCGCGGCGGCAGCATCGAAATAAAGCGTTCTCCGGGCTTCTGTTTCCCCGGTACCCTTCTAAGCTATTCCACGTTTCTCCCCCTCGCGCCTGTTTTTTGCCGTCGCTAAAAACTTTGATACCTTTTTAGGAGGTATTGTTTCCAGCCGGTGGAACGGGGGGGAATCGTCGGCTAAAGAGGGTTTCGCACCGCCGAGATAAGCCAAAGGGGTGGAAAACGACCAGAGCCACGGCGTGGATGCCGATAAGAGCAATCCTGAGGGTGCGTTCACACCAAACTTAGGCTTAGTCACGAAGACAACGGGCCTCGGTAAATTTCGCCTCGATAGCAATCGACGCGGATGGGAATAAGAATTTCTCGTTATCTTGGACGATATCCGGCTAACTTACGACTCCTCCAACTCCGAAACTATACGGGGCGCGGGCGTTCGGGCCTCTCTGATCCCGAAATCGATTCCAATCCCATAGTTTCCACGTTTCATGACAACCTCGACGTTCGCAGGTTGTAACAACTACGCGCGAATCGTTCGTTCTTGTCTAGGCAAAAATATCGAAATACTTTAAGCCACTCTATTTTATCACGATTCTCGAGATTCCTTTTAAGGTCTAAAAGGCAAAAGCCCTGTCCGCTGCAACGGCAAAACGACGTTCAAACGAAGCATATTATTAAATATTAAGCTAACACATTTTCGTTCTAATTTTCAGTTGTTTTGAGAATGAATCTAGGAGTCCAAATACAAGTATAATTGTGTTCAGAAGCTGTACAATCGTGGATGAATTTTTTCGGGGGTCGCCGAAGAATGGACGGAGAGAGGAATACGGTTCTAAATAGCAGAGATTTAATGAGAGGGTCCTCGAGGGTCCGTTCACCGACCAGAACAAGGAACTGACGATGGGGGAAACGATAGAACGAGCAAATGCGTACTCGATAAACATCAACGCGGCCGAGGAGACAAATATGGTTCGTTATCTTCCCTCCAATCGCGATTCTCGTACCAGGGGAATATCAGATTATTAGCGTACTGGACCGCTTTTCTCTCTGATAAAAATTCGCGAGAGAAAATCTTGTATGTTACGGGAGAACAATGTAATGAACGTAATTACCAGACAATGAAGATGGTCGTACGTACCAAGGCAATTTACGAGTTAACACGCCTGTTCTCCATGTTTAGGAATATCCGCAACGTTTGTTCAGAATTTAATGTGAAAAAATAGTCGTTCGTTACAAGGTTTGCAATTAATAAAAATTGTTTGTTGCGAAGAGTTTTTTTTCGTTACGGATTTCATCGAGGGGGCTGTTAATTCGTCCACAGTCTCACAAAAGAGTAAAATTGATCTAAGTTTGCGAAGTAAGTTACTTCGATATGCATTCAAAGGCTTCTTAGCTGGGAGAGGAGGACGATGAAAGTCGGCGCTGATAAATCTCAAGGATCGTACGCTTTGAAGATAAATTTAAGCGTTCCAAGAAGTCTTACGGATAATCGAAAGCAATTACTCAGTCGAGTGGTCGATGATCCTCGATTTGTCGAGAAAGTCATGGTATATAAATTTCGAAGTACAGATCAGGCGATTCAACTATCTACCAGCTACCGAACTGATTCGGGAAGAAGATTTACTCCGAAATCCGTAATTTCGAGGAACTTCCTCGACCGTGTTCCACGTTCAAAACTAATTTAGGATTAATCTGAGCGTACGATATATAGAATTCGAACGTCGATCGAACTTGGTTAATCTACAGAATCGAAGGCTGCCCTATAAATTTTTACAAACCTCGAACCATGACCCACGAACTTTGTATAGAATCTATACGAAGCAATTTAACAGAGAACTTTATAGATTTGGCAAAATGGAAGACAGCAACGATGGCAATTGCGCAAAATGGCACTCGTTGGAGGGTTAAATGGGAACATTCGAGACGATTGCCTCTTTTGGTTATCTTCCGCGCGACAAGACGGTGCTTGAATCAGCAACGTTATTAATGGCGGGTAGCAGAGGATTCGAGACGAGGCCTAGGGCCCATTAGTCCCGGCCTTGGCCAATTACTCGTCGAAATTGCAGCTTCGTCTCGGCTGTCGCGGCTGGCTTTCGAAATGGCGCAGAAATGATCACTCGACGACAGAGTATCGTCAGCCGGGGACAAAGTAACAGGGCGATTGAATAGAAAAGCCAGAGAGGCAGAAAGACCAGCGGAACGCGGAAAACGAGGGCCGAGTGGGACCAGGGAGCCGGCGAACAGAGAGAACAGAAAGCACAAAGCAGAGGACAACAGAAAGGGAAACGCGTATCGGCACCGCAGATGGAAACAGAGAAACCGAGAAAGGCAGAGGGAAGATGTTCAAACCGTGACGCGACTGCGTTTTCCGCGACAATCACGCGCATGTTTTGCGTATTCCGCGCTTTTCGCGTTGCGCAAAGTTCAAAGGGCCATCGGATGTTTATTGGAAAAAGTCACTCGTTTAGAAAACGCCGCGGCAAGAGTACAATTCGCTGGTTGCGGGCGATAAAATTGACGGGTTGCTAGCGACTCTGTCCGCGGGAACTGCGATTATCAACGCAACTATGATCTACGCTTCTCTATCTATCGTACATCCGAATGTTCTTTCCCCTTCTGCTCTGTACAGGGTAAAATTTTATTTTACGGAAATAATGGATAACCGATAGAACCGACGTCCAGCAATTTATTCGTGACGTTTATTCGATCGGACGGTTGAACTTTTATCTGTGCGGTGTAAAATATATCGTGGTTACGATTGAAATTTTTCTCTCGATGACGGTTATTGTTGAAACTTTATCGTGTTTCGCAGCGACGGAAATATAGCGAGGTTCAGATAAACGCTCGCATCCGGAACGGAGACGGGGAAAAGTTAACGCAGTCGGTAGGAAGATTAGTATTAATGGCAGCGCGATCGTGCGGGAAATTTTTAATCCTATAAAATACCGAAAAAGTCGCGTCCCCGTCGGAAATCCCGTCGTTTTGCAGATCGCGAGCGGAGGAGGAGGTGCGCCCGGGCACAGACGGATAAAGACGGGG